GTGACATGCCCCTGGCATTCCAGCTATGCTGGGGACTTTAGGTAGGAGAATCTCAGGCTGAGGCCAGCCCTGGCAAAAACTCAAGGCCCTGTCCAAAAAATGACTAAAATCAAAAAGGGCTGGGAGTGTGGCTCAGGTGGTAGAGCACCTGCCTATCCAGTGTGAAGTCGAGTTCAAACCCCAGTACCACCAAGGAAAGAAATGAAACCCATCCCACTCTGCCTTTTCCATACCAGCAAAATCCTCCCACTTCTCCCTCCTTGCAGCCTCACCTGCTCTGTGCCTCCTCACTGGTCTCCTGCCTTGACTCTTGCCCCACTGTGTCCTGTCCAGCCTCAGCTCCATAGCCAGGTGGGTCCTCTCAACCTAAGTCTCTCCCGTAAATAAAATCCTACCATGGCTCCCAGTGAAGAGGCAGCTGAGCGCCCCATCGTCAGTGCACTCCCTCTGCTCGACTCTTCCCCAGAAACACACAGGTGGCCTGCTGGCCTCCAAGGCCTCCTTCAAAGTCACCTGCCCTATGAGCTCAGCCCAGCCTGGTCTCTCTAAAGGTCCTGGGGGATCCTGAGGGATTGATAGTGTAAAGACAGCAAAGGAGCATTCAGAAGCCAAGCACAAGACCCATGATGGTTCTCTTTGGGAGGAGGGTGACAAGGACAGAAGACAGGAGATGCTTCGGAGTACCAGAGTACCGTGAAGCCTTCCTTGACCTGGGAGGCTGCGGGGGGCTATTCAACAGCCCCATGGCCTCTAGGAATGTAGTTGTCACAATTTTAAAAGGTAAAAACAAGAAAACAAGTCTGGTTTAATATTTGGAAACCAGTTAATAAAGATTTACCACATTAATAGATAAAAGGGGAAAAAAATCCTATGATCAGCTAAAAAAAAAAAAAAAGCCACAGTGCAAGCATTTAATAAAATTTAACAGCCATTCACAAGTTAAAAAAAATTACAGTGCAAGCCAAGAATGGTCATATATACCTGTAATCCCAGCTACTCAAGAAGCAGAGGCAGAAGGATCTTGATTTCAAGGTTAGTCAAATTAGCGAGACCTTATTTCAGAAACAAAACACAAGCAAAAAGGGTGGGAGTATGGCTCAAGGGCCTAAGAGCTTGCCCGACATGTGTGAGACCCTGGGTTCCATTCCCAGTACACAGAAAAAATAAAAATTTAAGTGCAAATGAGAAATAAGGGGAACCCCTTACCCCCAATAAAGAGTATCTTAGGGAATGGGGATTTAGCTTGGAAGTGGAGAGCTTGCCTAGCATTCGTGATGCCCTGGGTTGCCCCAGTCCAGCAGAAAAAAACCACAATGAATTATATTTAATGGTACAGTGTAACAGCCAAGAAGGAGAAAGACATGAGGTTTTCCTGCTTACATGCACCATTGTCCCAGAAGAGTCAGTTAAATGCTGATTTGAAGGTGGGAAAAAACAAGCAGTTAAGATGAGGAACTTGGCCCCGGGTGGCCAGGGTTCAGCTCCCAATTCTACACCTTCATCCCTGTGTGACCCTAAGCGAGTTCTCTAGCCCTTTCCAACTGGCATAGAGTTTCGTGAAAATTAAACTCTGTAAAGTACTCTTTGGCATAAGACAGACAGCACATATGTTTATTATTACAAAAGAAATACTAATGACTTTTACACAAAAGAAAACATTATTATAAAGAACCCCCCCCCAAAAAAATTGACAGCCATTGGAATCAATGAGAGCTAAGTAAGACTTCTGGATATAAGATTAATATACAAAAATAAAAACTGTTGGGTTGCGGAGGTGACTCAGTGGTAGAATGCTTGCCCAGTATGCAATAGGCCCTGGGTTTGATCCCCAGTGCTGCAAATACAAAAATAAATAAACAAATAAATAAGGCTCTGTGTGTACCATGGGGAGCACAGTTAGAAAATGTAATATTTCATTTTATTTTATTTATTTTTTGATCTGGAGATTGAACCCAGGACCTTGGTCTACCTCTTAAATACACCCCCAGCCTAGAAAATGTAATTTTGAAAAAGATGCCATTTACAGTAAATGATAGAAAAAAAAGGAATTTTCCTAAATAAGTTTAACAAAAAAGTATACACTGTTATTAACAGACAGGAAGGAAGATTTAAATTAGAGCTGCATACCATATTTATAGATTAGAAAATTTCTTATCGTAAATTGCACCATAGATTCAATGTACTTCTAGTCAAAATCCCAATGAGGTTTTTCATGAAAATTAACAAGTTGATTCTAAAATTTATATGAAAGAATAAAGAATCTAGTGGCTGGTGGTGATGGCGAGGGGGTGATGGGGTAGGGCATTGCCCGGCCAGATACGCGACAAATAGGAGTGTAACACTACACTGGTGACAGGACAGCGACCTGGAAACGGATCCACGCACATATGGAAAGCCGAGGGCAGACACAGTCACCCCTGCAGGTCCCCAGTGCGGGGTGGGAACTCTTCAGTAAAAGAAAGGAGGCGATCGGTAATCCACATGGAGGAGGAGTTAAAACTCAATCCCACTTCACACTGCAAACAGAACTCAACTCCAGATGCGTTAGAGACGTAAGCGAAAAGGAAGACCAAGCATTTTAGGTGGCTACATAACGGATTATCTCCGCGACTCAGCTGAGGGCAGGATTTCTCCCTGCTCCTCCTGAGCCATCTCTACCTCGGTAAACAGCCGATCCTCCTCCCAGAAGCACCTTGCATTCAGTCTTAATTCCTCTTCCTGTACCCCAAATCCATCCATTAGCACATCCGTGTGCACCGTCTCACACCCCGGCTCCTGCTTCATCAGGCTGCTTCACCCTCAGCCTCCTGAGCTGCCATATTGCCCAAGAGGACCCTCCAAACTGTGGCCTGCCGGCCCAGCTCCTAGGTCAAGTGCTGTAGTTTGGTTCTGGAATGTTCTCCAAAGGCCCACGTGTTAAAGGTTTAGCCCCCTGCATGGTTCTCTTGGGAGGTGATGGTAACTTTGAGGTGAGGCTTAGTGGGAGGTTTTAGGATACTGGGATCCCCAAAGATGGTTGTGTTACTCCAGCTTCTTCCTCCTCCTCTTTTTCACTTCTTGGCTATGAGGTGAATGGCTTTGCTCTACCACACAGCCCCTGCCATGATGTCCTGCCTCACCACAGGCCCAAAGCAATGGGACCAATCCATCATAGACTGGAACCTCCAACACTGTGAGCCAAATGAACCTTTCCTCTTTATAAGTTGATTGTCTCAGGTATTTTGTTACAGTAATGGAAGACCAACTAACACATCAGGCCACCATCTGTCCCACCTGGATATTTACAGTCACCCCCTTCTTGGTGTCTCTCAGCTCCCTTACAGCTACTCCCACCAGCAACTGGGGTGAATTTTTTACCTAAGTCACACAAGCTCATTCTGCTTCAAACCCTGGCTTGGCTTCTGCCTCTTACAGAGAAAAGACTTTCTGGGTCAGCAACCCAGTCTGCTTCCTGAGTTCTTCTGCACCCCCGTGCAGCCATTCGTGCCTCACCAACCTCAAACAGCACGTGCCAAGGTGAACTCAGACCAGGTGGAGCCTGACAGAGACATACAGATGGGCACAATGAGAGTAGCGTGCTGCAAGGCAAATCCCTCGCTCACTGTTTGCCAGTTTCCTGAGGGTAAATACTGCTCATGGCCAATATTCAGACAGCATTTGTATGCCAAACAGTTCAGAAAAATTCAACAATCAGATTGTAAACTGGTACAATCTGGCATGAGCTGGTTTCCAGCAACCCTTGGTACAGCTCTACTGCCCAGGCTAAATGAGGATGATAAGAGTTTTTAAATATTATTCTTTTGCATTTATGTAGACGTTCCCATATAAGATTATAAGTGTAAACTCTTTGGTGATTAATTGTTAAACAGGGAAGGCAAAAGGCAAGATTCTTGGTGCCCAGAACAGAGGACAATCAGGGCTGTGTTTCCTCACCCCTCCTCTAGCGCCACCCCTTCTCCAAGCTCAAAGAAAAACCCAGAAAGGTTTCCAGGGGGTGTCTGGTTCCTTGGGTGACAGGGACCCAAGCCAGGGAGAGGTGGTCTGCCAGGCCCTGGGAGTGCTGGAGACAGCTTGAAGGGAGAAGGAGAAGGAAGAGGAGGAGGAGGGCCAGAAAGAGCTGATCCTGGCAGTGAGGCTGAACCGGAAAGTTGGGGCAGTTAGAAACCCCCATGTGCTGGCCCTGGACCCCACACCTGAGCAATTTGGAAAGCCCTTGGGAATAGTGTCATGGCGAGGGAGGTGAAGGACTGGTGTTGAGAGAAGACCTGAGAGCTTTGGAGACAGAAGAAAAGTCTGGATGTGAGTCCCAGGATGCCTCAGACCACTGAGGTCTTGGGCCACTGGCCTCAAATTCACCTGTGAAGTGCAGCTTGTCCCAGCAGGACACACAGAAAAAAGGAAGCCCTCTGTAAATGGTGCAGCCTCCAACCCACCTGTCATTTCTCCTAGACGGTGCCATCCCCAGGCTCCAGATAAGAAAAATAATGGCTTTGCAGCTACTGAGTACCGTCTCTGTGCCCAGGCTAAGCACTTCCCTGCCTCCATGGGCTCCCACCCATGGTGACAGGGCCATGCTGTCTTTCTCAACACTGCCCAGAGGAGGTGGCTGAGGCTTAGCGAGGTAAAGGACCTGCCTGAGGCCACACCCAGCTAGTGAGTGGCTGTGCTGTGCTACTGTACTGTGGAAAGGTGCCCAGGCCAGGGCTGCCTGGCCTCCTACTGACAGATTAAGAAACTTGTGAGGGGTTCGGGATGTAGATCAGGTGGCAGAGCTCTGCCAAACCCCAGAACTGACTGTGCACCGTGAGGACACTCTGGCCAGGGGACTGGGCATCCCCAGCACTTGCTAGCATGGGAGATGCCCTTGGTACACATGAAGTGAGTGTCTGTGGGTCGTGCCTTGGCATCCCAGACCAAAGGCCTTCCCTGCGCAATGCCCTGGAGACCATGGGTGCTCGCTAGCTAATGCCCTCCTTCCTCCGCTTGTCCTTTGACCTCACCTTGAAACAAGTTTGACCGCATGTTGTAACCCAAATCATAGTAGTCTGAGAAGATGGTGGAGACTTTTGCAGGACTCTGGGTCCTGGTGGACCACAAGCTTGTCCTCTTCTGGTCCTCGAAAACTTCACTGATGGCCTTCCGAGCCTGGTGGGGGGGCAAGGCAGGGTGACCACAAGGTGATGGTAAAGCAGGGGCCAAGCCTTAGCTCTCCTCTAAGTCCTCCTCCCTCTGGCCCTGGCCTCACCACCTCTCCTCAGGCTGCAGGCCCAGGACTGGGGAGCTGGAGTGGGTTGAAGGTCCTGCTTCCCACCCCTCCCCACACATGGGCCAGGGCTTCAGGAATGACAGCAATCCTAAAGCCTCCCCCATATACTGAGCACCTACTGAATGCAGCATCAGGAGGGGCTTCCTAGGGTGACACTGTTCCCACCAGGTTATAAGTAAGGGTACTGGGCCTTGGGAGGCCAGACTTGCCCAGTACACACAGCTGGGGAGCCCCAGAGCCCTGGCTTGCTGCCCACATCAAAGTCAAAGTCCTCAGCTTTCATTGAGGCCACACCTTCCCTATACCAATGGGGAAACCGAGGCCTGACTGGTTGAGCCTGGGCCTAGGAGGGAGGAAACCTGGGTGTGAACCCCAATTCTGCCAGAGAGCAGCTACTGACTTTGACAAGGGCTCTGCTCCTCTCTGGTCCTCAGTTTCCCTACTTCTGAATATAGGTGGAGGACAGAATTGTGTGTGTGTGTGTGTGTGTGTGTGTGTGGTGTGTGTGTGTGGAGGGTCTTTGAAGTAGCTTTCAGCTTTGACATGTGGGCTCAATGACACCTAAAACCTGTATCACAGCTGGACAGGAAGACCAATGTCTTGATTTGAGCCCAACCAATGGCAGCTAAGGAGAGAAGCGGCCAAGAGAGGCAGTGAGAGTAAGTGACCACACAGTCAACTCAAGTGGGGACAGGTCTCTCCAAGCTGGGCAGAACATTTAAGACTATGACCTTCCAGATTGCCTGGTGGGTGGGGTCATTGCCCCATGAGATGGCAAATGGGAGAGGAACCAGGGAGGGGACATGACCCACAGTCTTTGCAAGCAGGGATCTTCCTTCTCTGTGACCCAGAGCACGTCACGTGACCTCTCTGGGCCTAAATTTTACCATCTGTTAAAAGGGAAGCAAGAATTCCTGCCTGGCCTACCACAATGTAGTCGCTATGACGGCTGAGATGGTGACATTGAAAAAAATGTCTCAGAATGCCAGAGCAAGAAGGATTCTTTGCCTTTGATCAGAAGTGGAAGTTGAATTTTATCTCAAATTTCAGTTGATTAGTAGTGACTGCCTAGAATGGTGTATCAGGCGGGAAAGAGTGCCAGCATCAATTAGCCATGTCTGCCATGGGCGCAGGCTAGGAGAGTGTAGAATGCACACCCTAAATCTGTCAGCCTGATTTAGTTTGACTGCTTCACTTTACAGATGTAAAGGCCAGAGAGGCAAAGTAACTTACCCAAAGTCACCCAGCATTCAGGGACAAAGCCAGGATTCAAATCTAGGTCTTCTGATTCCCCAAAAATGTGGTCCATCCACTCAATTCTGTCTCCCTTAGGAGACTTGTTCAAATTGAAAATGTCCAGTTCAAACAAAAGGCTCGTAACAGCAAAGTCACTAAGGACCAGGGCTCCAGAATCTGCCAATCTAATCTGGGTCCTCATCCCACACAACTGGGTAAATTTGGTTAACTTATCTAACCGCTCTCAGCCCTGGGCTGCCTTTCGCTGGAGTAATTCCACCCTCCTGGTATAACTGTTAGAAAAATTAAATGAGTCGCTACACAGGAGCAGTTCAAATAGTGCCCAATGGTCTGCCCCGTGGCAGGTGCTTGGTATACTGTGCTTTCCATCACTGATACTACAGGCTATAGTCAAGAGCAGGGTTTTTTGTTAAGTCTCCCCTAGCAGCCCTCCACCATGCTTAGCCTCCTAAGCCCCCCGTGTTGACACCTGCTCCTCGGAGACAAGCTGGTCCACCACTTTGCTTCCAAACTTGTGACGAATGTTGTTAGGAATGACACTGCCTTTCTGACTCAGAGGTGAAGTCCTCTGCTCCTGGGTCCTGGAGTTGGGACCTTCCTCTTGTTGAACCCCCTCTTGGAAATTCGCTCTGTCCTCTCTAGAGAAAGGTCTGGAACCCCTCTTCTTCAGGGCCCCACTATGTGGTTCCATTCCCAGAGAATCCCAGCTGGCAGTGCCTGAGGGGAAGGCGGGATGCCCTCCTGGCGGTCCTGCCCTGAGGTGCTGGCTCGGGTTCTCGGGGAGAATGGGCCTGGTACTTGAACTTAGAGGTGTCTAAGGGGCTGAGGGTGGTTCTCCAGTGGTCCACGTCCTGCTGGCCCTCCTTGTTGTTGTGCTGGTGGGTCTTGGTCAAAGCGGTTGTGCCTGAACTGGAGGGAGGGAGAGAGAGAGAGAGAAAAATGCAGACAGTCAGGGGCAGGAAGGGGACAGACAGGCAAGTGACAGAGGGAAACAGGCAGACACAGAGACCAGAGGTCCAGAAACAAAAGGGGAGGCACAGAGACACCACAGGAGCCAGAGGCACAGGTGAGGAGAGAAACAACAGAAGTGAGCTCAGTGGCCAGGCCAAACCAAGGGACAAGGCTGGCCCATACTGCTTTTGACTAGGGGGGTTGTAGCCCATGCCTGTCCATCCTTGAGGCCTAGCTGTGTGGCCTCAAGCAAGGGACCTGGTCTCTCTGTGCTTTAGAGTCCATTTGGCTAGTTTTCTTTCCTACCCTGAGACCCCAGAAATCCAGTGAAGGAATCAAGCAGCCTCTGGGGCTGGGAGAAGCGGTTCTCAGCTTGCCCAGATCACACACGTAGAAAGCACCAGTCATGTCTAGGCCTTGGTCTTTGTCCCCCTACCCTCCACCTTCTCTATCCTTCATCCTAGGCACCTCCTAGGCTCTCAGGTTCCCACCTAGTCCTTTCCTCTACACCCACTCACATCCTGCCCAAGACCCCCAGTGGCAGCAGTCTCCCGCCCTCTGCCTCTCCACTCACCCCTGGAGACAGGCAGCCTATAGCTTCTTCTCACTCAATGTCCCATGACATCCCACCTCTCAGTGTTTGCCCAGCTTGGCCCACTACCTCGAGGACAGCCCCTCCTTTCCCAGTGCCAGAACCCTGCCCTTCCTTCCACCAAGAAGTTTTCCAGACACCCACCCCACTCCTGCTTCTCACCTCCTGTTCCCAACACGTCTCTCATGACTCTGGGGCTTGCCCTTTCTACCTCCAGAGAGCTACAAACCATCTCCTTTTTTCCTCCTAGACAGACAGAGGGTCACCAAAGAGGAGTCCGCTGTGAGCCAGTCTGAGCCCTCCCACCCCTAAGAGCCCAGCCCACCTGAGAGAGTGTGGAGTCCCTCAGTGAGCGAATGCGTGAGCAGGAGGCTGTGGGGTGTCACAGCCTGAGGAACACTGCATCTCATCAATGCTAAGACTCCAGTTCCCTCTCATTTGGACGTCTCTGATATCAGGCTGAATCTGGCAATCATGGGCCCTGGCTGGTGACTTAACCAGAAGTGTTTTCTCTTTGTGACGCAGTGCATCACAGTAACCAGTTGGAGGTGGCTTAGCACCCAGTTTATGCAACACCTGCCCCCAGCTGAGCTTCTCCTCCAGAACTTTCTAGAAGGATCTTCTAGTCCTCTTAAAACACACGTGGTTTGTTTCTCTTTTGTTTATAAATGAGACCAGAGTCTATGTGTTGCTCTGTAACTTGCTGTTAATGAAAACATCCCCATGCTTTGGGGATCTACTCCAGGCAGCAGAGAGAGAACTTTCCCCCAAGCCCTGTAGGCCTTGGCCAGTGCCCAGCTGCTAGACGGTCCCATTGTTTCAGCTCAGCTTTTCAGAAAAGGCTGCTGTGAGCTTCAGGCTTCTCGGCTGTGGGGTTTGTTTCATTCTAGATCCTTCTCCTGGCAGTGGGCACAGAGAAAACTGAGGTTTCTCCACTTTCCTGCACACTGCCTCTTCCCATTCTTCCTCCTACCCTTTGTCCTTGCCCCTTTGTCACCTACAAAGGCTGGAGGGAGACTTTGTTCCTGAGGCCAGATGGCCTTCCCACCCTTCTGCTGGACTCTGTCCAAACCACCTGGCAGACAAGCACTGGGGGCCTCTAGGGACAGCTAAGGTTGCCAGGAGGGGGTGGGGGCCTTCCCAAAGGCGTGGACGTAGAGGAAGGAGAATCATCCTGGTCAGCCGTGGCCTCTCACCTGCCCCATGTGGATACTGAGGCCCAGCACAGGGATGAGCTCCCACCCCAATCCCACACATCCAGGCTCAGGACCTCTGGGGTGGGACTGCCCTGTTTCCCAGCCTGCACTCATGGCTACCTCCTGTTCCTCGCCATCTCTGTCTCCGGTGTAACTGTCACTGCCTTCCCTTCGGGGTGTGTCTTGTATCCTCTGGCTCAGAGAGCAGAGACTAGCACCAATTCATCAACTGAGTGACCACCTACTGTGTGTTGGGTGTGGCTGGCTAGGGGTTACAAAAGCGAACAAGCTGGCCCCTGTGCTCTGGGAGTTGAATGTTTTTTGAAGAAGGAAGAAGGAAGGAGGGAGAGAGGGAGGGATGCAGGTCTGTACCTGCCACCTATCAGAATGACAGGTACACTCAAAAAACACAGACCTCCCAGCACTTATGTCCGAATGCCTGCAGAAAGGCCCCGAATCTGGAGGGAAATCAGGTCATTGCAGCAGGAGTGCCCCCAGTCTCGCCAGATTGCCCTCTCCACATACCACCTGCCCACTCCTGGTGACCATTCTCACAGCTGACCTGGCCCAGCCACACCAGCAGTAGAAACCTTTCCCTGCAGGCAGGGCCCCACCAAAGTGCAGCCCTCTCCCTGCCTGGCCTGGCAGCTCTGTCCAGAGCCCAGGACAAGCTCTTGCTCCTCCCCGGCCATGCGTGCCTTGGGCCGTGCTCACTCAGGACCTGCATGTAACCCCACACACAGTGGCCAGACCTCTCACACTCTATTCTCCCACATCTCAGCCCTTCTTGGGCACACAGGGAAGTGCTGTCCCCCTCTTAACACAGAACAGCTGAGGATGGGGACTTGGGGAGTAAGAACCCCCAAGTCTGGTGGGATACAAGGGGCTCAGAAATTCATTCCCACCAGGTTCTTTTGTGCTCAGTCAGAGTGATCCCTAAGGAGGTCAGGGCCTCAGCAGGTCTGGAGGCCCCTGTGAAACTGATGAGGGGATGTGGCCAGCTGTCCCCAGGGAGTCCCTGTGAAGAACTGGCTGTGCAGTCCTCACACTCCTGGTCCTTCCATCCTACCTGCTGAGTGGTCCAGCTCTATCCACTTTTGCTCAAGGACAGGTAATTCCAAGTGTGGTCCTGGAAACAAAGCAACACGTCACAGGATCTCAGACGACAGGGTCTGCAGCTAAGCGGAACCACCTGCAGAGTCACAGCCAGCCCCTGACCAGGATCCCTGCCCTGCTGCCGCCACCACCCACCATCCTGCAGGGCCCAGTCCCACAGTGGACACTGCTGCCCAGCCTCCCATCACCAGACCCTGGGTTGTGCCTAGACCTCACAGGCTCTGCCCTCTCAGAAAGGCCTCAAAGGCCTTGGGACCTGTGCTCCTCTTTCTCCTAATCCTTTCCTTCCACCTCCTCCTCTTCTCCTCCCCTGCCCCCAGCACCACTAAGGAGCCCAGCACTGGCTCCCCGGCTGTGTGGGCATTTCCCCAGTCCCCAACCCAGGACTTCTCTTTCTGCAAATAAGATGTTACCCACTTCACCTCGGGTCATTCACGGTTGGGGAAGGAAGCAGCTTAGCCGGTGTAGAGGAAAGCCCGGAGCAAGAACCAGGCTCCAGATGACTTCCGTCTTTTCTCTGAGGCTAGCTCCGCATCTCCAAACACCTCTGCAGCTTTCACATTTGTAGTGTTTTTTTCTAGTGCTCTTTTGCTTCTTGATGTTCCCTTATTTTATCACATGTAAGCTTTTTTCCAGGCTTTTGCAACTTTTGTAATATAAATAAAATAAAACCCTGCCTCACACAGTAAGGACAATAAAGAATAGAATAGAAACAAGTCAGAGCCAGAAAGAGGTCTTTAAGAACTGAGGACCAGAGAGGGAGAGTGATTTGTCTAAGGTCACCCAGCAAGTTATTTTGCTGATAAGCTCAAAGCAGGTAGGAACCAGACTACTTTATTCCTTTAAAACTTGACAAACCAAGCATGCTATTGATTTTGACACCTCCTATCTATTTGAGACTGAGAATGTGGCTTACTGGCAGAGGGCTTGCAGGAGGCCCTAGGTTCCATCCCGTCATTATTATTCAATGAGCAAGCATCTTCTGATATGACTCTAGTGCTCCCTTATCCCCCTGGTAATCACCGACTGAGTTACACCCTCCCTCTTGGGTGTGGGCTGGACCTATTGGCTTATTTCTGTTCAAAAGGATAAGACAAAAGTGGTGACTATCACTTCTGGAATTAGACTAGCAGAGTCTGTCTTGTTCCTGCTCTGTTCTTTCCCTAGCTCTTGTGGTGCCCTCACTCTGAGGGCAATGGCTGCTGTGTTTTAAGTTGCCCTATGGAAAGGCTCATATGACCAGGAATTGAGTGACCTTGGGCCAACAGCTCACAGGGAGCACAAACCCTCCATCCAACCATCTCAGAAAATCGAATTAATTCTGTTCCCTTAAAATGTTCTTCAGAGTGACTCTGGCTTCAGCTGGTCCTAGATATGAGAACACAGCCCATATGACACCTTAATTACAGCCTGGGGACCTGAGTCACAGAACCTGTCAGGGAACCACCAGATCCTGACTCCCAGTGTAATGGGCTCTGGCCATCAGTGGCCCTGTCCTGTTGTACTCTTGTCCTTTCTTGTTTTCAGACAGTGGCCTTCACCCTGCATTCCTGTGATCTTGCTCATTGTCCTAAGCCAATTACAGGAAATGCTGTTGACCTCAGACTGGAACATCTTACTCTCCAGATTAAGAGAACACATCCAAAACACTCAACTGCCCAACTTGGGCTCCTGGGAAGGGCTCGTCTCTGCCTGCAACCCCTGACCTGGTCATCATATAAACATCCCTCACTTTTTCAAAAACCTGGAGAATGGTCCTGGAGACATCGAGCCCTCTGCCTCCTTCCAGCTCACCAGCACTCTCAATAAAGCTGACTCTCTTTCTCCCCAACATGTCTCTCAGGCACTGGTTTTCTGTGTGGCCATCTTTCAAAGCTGAGTTCAGTAACAATGAAAACTAGAACCATCTGTTAGTTCTTTTATAAGAGGTCTAAGTAGCTAAGCTCTGTGGTGGTCTTTTGTTGTAACACACACATATTTTGGTATCCAGAGTGGCTTCAGGACCAAGCAGCAGGGAGACATTGAGGGTGTTTGAGAAGCATGACAGAAAAAGCCGACATCCCCTTAAACAGTCGATCTGCAAAATTATGACTCCAAAGAACTGCCCCCACATGGGCACAGGAAGAGAGGAGGAGTATGTTATGAGAACTCACAGGACCCTTGATATATGGAAACTTGTGAATGATCATCAGCAGTGATGTGGCACCTGTCATGTGGCGTAGTGACACAGAACGTGTAACTATGAACAGAGGGGTTCTGTGATGGCTGTTTCCACACAAAGTACTGGGAAGGTATTCCATATAAGGTA